AGAGCCAGAGGTGAAGAGCTACAACTCCCATCATCCCTGACATGACTTTACATCCTTTTTGACATGCAAACATTTTCTTAGTTCTGCGAGTGCCCGGTTGCCTGCCCCACACATTGCACAGCCCCTATGGTTCCCTCCTCATCCATCCAACATTTAGGGTGAGCAAAAACAGTTTTGCCTGCTGTAAGTTCTTTGGCATCATTTCCCCTTGCTTCATCCTTTACATCTTTTGTTACATGCCCCTAGCTTCTACCCTCAACTTATCCACAGGTCATTAAAAAAAAAAAATCTGTAATTTTGGCCCCAAACCTGCCCTCGATTTATACATGAGGTCAACTTATAGTTGAGTATATACAATATATAAATACAATTAAGAAAATTTTGACTTGAAGAACAAAATGTTTGTACCTCAAGTCAAATTTTTCTTTTGAGAGCCAGCATGGCATAGTGGTTTGAATGTTGGACTATAACTCTAGAGACCAGAGTTCAATTCCCCATTTGGCCATGAAATCCACTGGGTGACCTTGGGCAAGTCACATATTCTCAGCTTCAATAGCAAACTTTCTCTGAACAAATATTGCCAAGAAAATGCCATGATAGGTTTGTCTTAGGGTCACTATAGGAAGAAATGACTTGAAGGCACACAACTACAACAAACTGAACATCTAAGACATTATGCAAATGAAACACCCACAGTTAACAAACACTCTCTTCTTTAATTCTCTAAGAAATGGATTACTTTGTACCCACTACCAGTTCATTTCCCTCATTAATAAGTATTATTGTTACCAGAAGCACTAGAAGAAACAATATATTGGATTCTGCTCCTGCCTAAGGACAACACATTTCATAAAAGCAGCTAAATTCAAGCAACATTGAGATCCATCGGTATTTTCACTTTGAAGTTTAAATTCTGGAGACTTTTGATTGCCATACAGAGCAACATTCAACTGACTGCATTTTAAAATATGTTCCCTTTTAGTAATTAGAAGCTGTAACCTGAGTGTTAGTATGAATTAGAAAAGAGCCACAGAATAGTTTTACAGACTGCCAGAAATAATGCAGCTTGAGGCCACTTTAACTGCCCTGGCTCAGTGCTAAGGAATCATGAGAACTATAGTTTATTGTGGCACCAGAGCTCTCTGACAGAGAAGGCTCAATGTCCTAGAAAAAAAAAAAATACAATTCCCATGATTCCCTAGCACTGAGCCAGGACAGTTAAAGTAGCCTCAAGCTGCATTATTTCTGGCAGTCTGTAAAGGCTCTGAATAAATGGCATCTTATTAAGTCAACACTTACATAAGTTCTTTTGATGAAGTGGGTCCAATAAATCAGTATGTCTGCTTGGGGATAGCAAATGGATTTAGGCCATGATAATATTTTTTTTTTAATTAAAGGTTCACATGGGAGAGTGCTTATGACAATTCTTCTCACCTGGTGGCTTTTTGTTTTACTCAAATGGTTCATTTACAGGTGTTTTGAAATAGTTAAAGACTGTCCATAGTTAGGATCAAACACTGATCAGAAGGGAGACTGCAGTCAAGAAATAAGAAAAAGAATAGAAATGGGAAGGACAGCCATGAAGGAACTAGAGATGATAGTAAACTGTAGTGATATACAACTGAATAATAAAGTTAGAATCATGCATGCCATTGTAGTCCTCATCACCATGTATGGATATGAGAAGTGGACAGTGGAAAAAGCAAACAGAAAGACAATAAACTCATTTCAGATGTGCTGGAGAAGAGTGATGAGGACAGTGTGGATGGCCAAAAAGACAAACTTCTCTCTGGAAGCAAGCATGATGAAACTGAAGCTTGTACTTTGGCCACATTGTGACTCATTAGAAAAGACTATAATGTTGGACAAAATAGAGGGAAGCAGAAAGAGAGGAAGATCATATGCCAGATAGATTGAGTCAATCAGGGAAGCCATGGGTCTCAATCTGCAGGACCTAAGCACAGCAGTTTAGGATAGGAAGAAATACAGATGTCTCATTCATAGGGGTGCCATGAGTTGAGGTCAATTTGTGGGGAGTTAACAACAACTTTATGGGAGGAAGAAAAAAAATCTGGAAGGTGGGTGGTGGAGAGGTCACTACTATTATGCCAAAATAACTTGGTTGGCTTTGTGTACTATGCATGCTGATCTCTGTTAGAGGTTGACACTTGGTGCTCTACCTTACACCGCAAAATGTATTGGAAGAGTCCTGGCTTAGTACTATGGAAAATCATTACCTCTCACAAAGCATTATTGCATGCAAGTATATTAATTTATTTTTAAAGCAGTTTAAAATTATTTAATTTAATTTAATTATATCACACTTAATACTTAATTTACATAAAACAATAGAAAAATAGTAACCACAAAAAACAAAGACAATAACCAATACCTTGTCTCTATCCCCAACACAGTTTCAATTGACTTCCTGCTCTTCTCTGGCCACAACCAGTTAACTTATACATAATATTCCTCTTTTCTAAACAACACCTATTATATTTGCTATCTTTCTTTATAATACAGAAAAAATATTTTATTTTCATATATCAAACCTTATAGTTACAATGTCCTCCTTCACCCTCTTCTATAAAAAATTGCCAGATTTTAATATAATTTTTAAAACCAGCCATTTCAATCAGCCACTCCCATCACTTAGACTTAGAGCTTCCAGCCTTGCAGTTACAAGAAAGGGCAAAACAGGTGGGCAGGAAAAAGCGACATGAAGCTGTCTTTTCCAAAAGTGATCCGAGTCCCCAACAACCACACCACTGGCTCCCAAGGTGGCTGGAGTGTGCATGTCATGACCGCATGGCACGGCTTCAAGCTGCACTGCTAGATACTTTTTTTTTTTTACTTCTCTCCCAACCATCCCTGTGAACTGTCTCAGGAGTGAACTGCTGGCAACTGCCATCCCAATGGACAGCCATCCATGTGAACTTGCACACAGTCACATGTGTAGAGCTCCACCGGGAAAGGGATCGGAGAAGAGGTGGACCCATGTAGATGTCAGCAAGGTACAATCATGTCCCCCTTTATCCTCCCTTCATCCCATGCCCCCTCTTTGACTGTCTGATTTATGTGTGTTTTACTTATCTCCATGAGAGAAGTCATGGTTTCTCTTTTGGGCATTGCCACCCCACCATTTGAGTATGACAGCTCTGTCCCTTCTAAATGCGCTTCTGCAACAGGGTGTTTATATGGACAATTAGGATTAAGGTTTGGAAAGATTGCCCCTTTAGAGCTGCTCTGGTGTTGCTGTATGTAGACATACGAGTGATGGTGTGCACTTTCTGGGAAGAGTGGAAAAATCCAGCTCCTTTTTAGTCTGGCATTTCTCCCCATAGCACAGCTTGGGAACTGTTTCTGGGTGGCTTCAGAGCTTGCATCATCTAAATGCCCCACCTCGAGGCTGGGTGGAAACCTGCTCATTTTGACTGTTTCATCCCCAAGACATTGCCCAGACATCAAAGATGCTGCCTTGGGCTTCTGATGTTTATCTTTTTTAACTTTAAATTTGTTATACAAATTATAACATTAAAACACAAACCAAAAATACAAAGAGTCACTTCACAATCATATTAACCACTATGGAAAGGGAAGAAAATCAATTATGGGCCTTTGCAGACTGCCAGAAATAATGCAACTTGAGTCCACTTTAACTGCCCTGGCTCAGTGCTAGGGAATCATGGGGACTGTAGTTTACTGTGGCACCAGAGCTCTCTGACAGAGAAGGTTCAATGTCTCAGAAAAAAACACTACAGTTCCCATGATTCCCTAGCACTGAACCAGGACAGTTAAAATGGACTCAAGCTGCATTATTTTTGGCAGTCTGCAAAGGCCCTAATTCTCTCCAAAAAATACTTGTTGTCCACATGTGGGTTGCAATTGTCCTTGTTGTTTGTGGATATATTTAATAAAAATCTGCCATTCTTCCTGGAATGTTTCCCTGGTTTTATGGCCTTTGCTGATTTTCATTTGAAATGAAAGCTTTTCAGATAGCCATTAATTCCACACCCTTGTCCACCAATCAGCCAGATACCTTATTTTCCTGCATATAAGACTACTTTTTAATCTGCAAAATCCATTGTTAAAGTGGGGGGGGGTCGTCTTATATGCCGGGTATAAGGATAAGGAGGATAGAGGTGATAAAACTTTATATTTTGGCTGGAAAAATGGGGGTTGTCTTATGAGCCAGGTCATCTTATACGCTGGAAAATACAGTAGTTTTCCCGTCTTCCAGTTCTTGGCCACTTTCATCCTGGCTGCTGATATTAGAAAGGCAATCAAAGCACTACATTTCAACCTACACTTATACCTAATGTATGAAGATAGCAATAAAAGGGCTGGTTATCTAGCCTGCTGGGCATGCCTCTACAAAACAAGTGGTACCTACTCTGAGCAAGGTGGCTAGTCTCACATGTAAGGCTGCTGTTGTTCTGCTTACCAGAACAGTATAGATAGTTCCACATGTTTCCATTTCCACTTGTGCAAATTAAAATAACATTAATGTTCAGGTTGCACCATTTTCCCCACTGAGACATACAGTCCAGAAGTGCCAAGCCATTGATAACCTCACTTTCACTGATTCTGGCGACTGAATGGAAAGCCACTTACGCCTTGAGCCGCTTTTTCAATGTGGCTGCTGTTGTCTGCTTTCAAGTTATTTAAAATATCTAGTGACTCTAAGGTAACTCTATAATGGGCTAAATAACATAACCACATCAGATATCACATGCATGCATTTTCCTTTGAAAGCTAAATAGATAGCACACTTTTGAAATGTACATTCAGGCACTGCTACAGGCATCAATCATTAAATAATACTGAAAATATTATCATGCTTTCCATAATGCTGAAAATGCACAGCAAGTATATATTAGCTCATGGAACAGTAGCATATCCTATTAGTTACTTTACAGCTTCTAAAGCAAAACTGTCAGGTGATGTGTTTTTCATTAAAAGACTCAGAGGAAAAATTCATTTTTTTCATTGAGAAGGTGGGACACTCGATACACAGTTTATAGACTTTAATACTTATATGAAACAAAACCAGATCAATGCTCTGTAGACACTTCTGCTTTGGGGAAAATTCCTGAGAGTTAATGGATTTAAGATACAAGGTAACTGTGTAAAGTTTCAGTGCACATATTAAATACAAATGGTGCTTCTTTAAGAAGCTACAGATCTAATAAGATTCCTGAAATGCCATCTTTACAATTGCAAGCTAGACCATTTAAATAACACAACCAGGGTTGGTCTTCATTTTCTCATTTATACAAGTTCTAAAAGGTTATCATATAACTGAAGCATTTTAATTTAGAAATATTAATTCTGTCAATGTGGTTCATAAAAAAGACCTAATTTTCATATGGTCCTGATGACATTTTACAACTCTTTTTTACTGTACTGATTGTTGTTTAAGTCAATTACTAAGCAGAGACTGGTAAAGTTTAATTTGTGGACTGTAGGTCCCAGTATAACTCAGAGAACATAGTCTTTGCCCA